TTTCACATGGAAGTAGCAGCATGTTTATATGTAGCTCCATCAACTGTATAAAGTGTTACCTCAAGAGTACTTGTTTATATATATCTATCATAGCAGTTCCTTGTGACTTAGAGTTTTTCAATACTAACATCACTTTATAGGTAAAGAAAACTGAGCAAACGCTTATCTAGGGAGTGGCTTTATGTTGTTGGGGCACAGAGACTGGGTGTTTGCCTTTTCTCGCTTTGGTGTCACTATGTTCCTTCTAGTGTACATTATTAAGCAAAATACCCTCTACCAAAACTTTGATGAATCATGAAGAGACACTATATGAGAAATGGGGACAGAGCCCTCCTGGTGGCCTACCCAGCTGATGCAGCACTAGGTGGGGAGGCTGTCTCTGAAGTTTTGAGAGATAAAGCAGGTGGAAATGAAGGTAGTTGTCTGGCAGATGGAAAATCACCTGGCTCGAAGCTCTGCTCTTTGTAGCATGTAGTTTGATGATATTGATGTATTAAGAATATAATGTAAGAAATCTGCTCAAGTATTAAAATGCCAGATTGCTTTCTTCTGCCTTGTCTAGACTCAGTAGTGAATTTAAATGAAGTATAGCAAGTGGTCTTCTGTGAAAAGACATCCTCTGTGGACACATAGATCTATTGATGCAGATACACTATTTGAGAACACTCCCTCCTTAAGGTGTCTGGTGTGGAGGCTAAGTACTAACTTAATATAAGAAACATTTCTGTTTTGTAGACCAAATAGCTGTCTCTGTCATTTGGTGTGTGTGAGAGTATTGTGAATGTGTTGTGTCTTTGGGAGAGCCAGTTTTAATCAAATTACTGTGTAATTTTGAAATTAGAGCACGCAGTTAATCTTTTTGTTTTGGAATGCTTGTTTTGGAATGCTTTTTATTTTGGAATTTTTTAATTTTTTTTAACCTCATGAAAGTATAACAATATAATTCATCTCTGTTAACTTAATTTCCTATAAGACTCATAGCTATAGCTGGTCGTGTGTGTGTGTGTCTGTCTGTCTGTGTGTGTGTATTGGATGCAGGTGGGCTGCACATGCATGTGTGTGTGTACATACTCTTCTGTAGTCTTAAGCAAGTCTCATGCTGTTAACCTGTGTCTCTGAAAGAGGAGATTCTTTAAATAGCTCATTGTAAAAAATGTGATGAGCTTTTACTTCACAGTTCTCAGACTGATAACTCTTTACCTTGTAACTCCCAAGAGGGCAGAAGGCGGATCTTCAGGGTTCTGCCACAGATTCCAGCTACCACTTTGGTAACTTTTGTAATCTAGAGTTAAGTTGTTCATGGTGTTCTGCTGAGATATTTTGTTCTAGAACATTTCTCACCTTGAATATATTTAGTGTCACAGGAGGACCACAGGTCATTCCAGAGTATAAGAAAGTGGCTCACATAACTTTTAAGCTGAGCCATCTAATCAGAGATTTTAGGGATGTATAAACTGAAGATTTAGTAGTGGAGGTTTTTTGAGTTCACATCTTTCTGTTTTTAAAGATGCATAGTAGATGAATGACATGAGTATGATTAACCGCCTCTATGTGCACGAAACAGTCTGTGGGTTGACACCATTCAGGGTTGATTTTCAAGCTTGTGTTTTTGACTGGTTTTTATTTGCTTGTGAAAGGACCCAGGACGTCTATGCATTTTAACTTGTTTGATAACTGCAATTGTAATGTTTGTTCTTGGTTTAAAAGCAATAGCCGATGTGTTCAGTGATCTGTGTCTTCCTTTACTCCTGCCTGTCTGCTCCTCTCTAACAGTTCCTGATGTTACCTATTCCAAGTACTTGGTTGGGGAAGGAAGTAGGAGGTGGGGAATATACGATATATATATATATATATAGATGTCTTTCTATATATGATGGTGTCCATCATATGTGTTCTTAATTTGCCACTTTTAGTTACTACATTTGGAAACATTTATTTTGAGATGTAGGATACAACACTTGAAGTTGAGCATGTTGCTTTTAAAAAGTCTGTTTCAAGTTAGCTAAAACAGGGTAAATGGCATTTTCATTGTGTCAGAATTATGGGTTTTCTATTAAAATGCATTTCCAGAGTTTCATAGTTAATCTATTTCTTCCCCTCAGCCATCTTAAGTAGATCAGTTGTCTATCAACAGGTGGTTTAGGAGCAACTTTGGAAACAGTTTGGCAGAGCTAAGTGTGCTGTACTCAGCCCTAGGTACATACTCTTGAGAAACTCTTAAATGTTGCCAGGAGATGGATGAACAAATGTCTTAATGTCATCTTGTGTAATGAAGAAAAGAAAACCCAAACCAACAAAACCCTGGGAAGATCCCATCAGCCATTTGTGTTGGATAATTAGTGTGACACATCCCCGCCACGGAATTCACTGGCATGAACATGATCTTCTGGCTCCGAATGTGATCATGGATGACTCAAGATGTAATAATGTCCCCAGAAAGCAAGCCACAGAGGATCTATGTATTACGGTTCATTTTGGTAAAGGTCAAAAGAGGCTGTTAAAAAATACATGAGAAACATGAAACAGTTGACATACAAATCACAATTAGCTGCTACTTTGAGAATGACCTTGGAGGGCAAAGGGGTTTTCAGAGGAATGGCCACTGCTCTTTCTCAAGCCGGGTGGGCTCTTTTCTTTTTGAATTGTATGTTTGTGTGCTTTTGTGTATATGCTATTTCTTAATAAAAAAAATTTTTAAGTGGGAAAGGTTTTGGTGTAGGTAGTGACTAATAAACATACTAAATTAACCTCAATGCATGGCATATTAAAAAGGCACACTTTCTCCTTTTATTCTTTAAATGGTCTCACAGTGTAGCCCAGGCTAGATTGGAACTTGGAAATCTTCCAATTGCTTATAATCCTCCCAAGGTTATAAGTACACTATGACACTTTTAACTACATACAAGGCACACACATACTGTGTGATATCTTTTCCTTCATTTAAATGGCAGCCAGGGAATCAGTGCTTCTATTCTAAGCAGCCTTTCAAGGAAGGGTTAAGTGCCCCGAAGTATTAACAAAAATGTTTACTTTTTAAGAAAAAGTGATTAGTATTTGAAAAGTCCCAGCAGATGCTTAGGGTTCACAAAGCCAAGCATTTGTTCCTAGCAGTCGTTCTACCACACCCCAGTCAGCTGAGACCCAGTCCTTTCCAGATGAGCTGAGGATAGTTTGGGGGTTGGTGGTGGTGGTGATGGTTTCCTTTATTTTTTGAGCAGGGTTTCTCTGTTTAGCCCTGGCTGTCCTGGACTTGTTCTGTAGACCAGGCTGGACTCAGACTCTGAGATCTGCCTGCCTCTGCCTCTGCCTCCTGAGTGCTGGGATTAAAGAAAAGTATGTGCTACCACCACCTGGCCTTCTAAGGATCTCTTAATAATGGGTGGGTCCGTGAAGAGAACAGTGCAGCACACATACCTCCCTTTACCTGTTGCTGTCTCCTCATTGCATCGGTGAGCTGTGCCTGGACTGTTTCCCATGAGCACAGCACAAAAGGAGGTTCATTACTTACCAGTCTCCATCACTGTAAAAAAGCAGGTTGTGTGTGTGCATCTTGGAATCAGGGGTTTGAGAGTTAATTAATGAAGTTGTTGGTTGTTTTTACAGTCAAGGTAGGAAGTAAAACTTAATTGTACTTTTTCTTGAAGCTCTCGTTTTGTTTTAGGACTTAGAGAAAAGGGTCTTTGAATCTAACCCCAGCATGAGGGAGGTTTAGGATCATCCATCCCTCGGCTATACAGAAAATCTAAAGCCCTCTGAGCTCCTAGAGCCCCATGTGTGCCCCCTCCCCCCACTTTGTTTTGTAGTGGAGTGTGTTGATTAACTTAGAGCAGGTAAGAATTTGTTTGCCCTTGTGGTTGGATTACTGTTCAAACTATAGCCACTGGATAGCATCACCCTCCTAATTTATTGTATTCCAATTAAAGTTTATGTTAAATTTATTAATTTAAAAACCGTTCTCAGTGTTCTGCAAATGGTGATTTCTAGATATTAACCTAACCAACCTCAGGCTCCTGCCTACATTTTCCTTACTATTGAAAGCAAAACACAATTAGGGAAGTTGTCACTTGAGGATCCATCCTGTCTAGTCACAATTTGCAATTGTGGAATACTGGGCTTGGAATACTTCAAAAATGCACATCCTTACACAGTGCTCCTTCCCTTAGAGTTCTGGATACCAAGCCCATTGTAGAGTTATGAAATTAAAATGCACATCCTTACACAGAGCTCCTTCCCTTAGAGTTCTGGATACCAAGCACAGTGTAAAATGGATCATGTTACCATATAAAGTTTCCCTCTGGCAGTTGTGTAGTGCTTGCTCTGTGTATTTTCCCTCAAATCTCAGCCGCTGGGAAGTTGGTAATAAGGAAACAGTGGACTCTTGAGTTGGGAATACAAATAGAATGTGTTGGGCCCTGAGGAGTTCTGGTGTTTTAAATTCATAAGGATCAGAGGTGGCTTGATGTTTGAAGAGTGATGACTATCAAGAGAGGAATGGCTAAGTGAATGTGGGCAAGTTATAGCAAAGTGCTAATAAAGTGACACACACTCCAAAAGTAAACTTCAGAAGACCAGCTTGGGTATGATAGCCCCCCAGTCTTTAGTTAAGCTAGTGAAGCCGCCACCAGCTACAGTGTTATGAGAGCTGTTTTCACAAGTTGTCTTAGCCTTGAGAAGTTAGTTGTTTACTCAGGTGATTAAGCCATTCTGTTTGATTGCTAAGTGGGGCTTATATGCAGCTCAGTAGTAGAGTGTCAGTATTGGGGTGCAGCACTTCAAAATAAACTGGGCCTCTTCATGGATACTGTAGCTGTGTTTGTCAATTCCTGCTCAGAGAGGTTAGAAATGAGGAAAATTTCCAAAGTTCAAATGTGGTTACCCAAATTGTCACATGGTCTAGGCCTTATTATTGACAGTGATTCCAGACTCTTCTGGAGCTAGTAAGTCATTTTTGCAGCTTGGCTATTGTAGCAGGGTCTCTCTGTCAGAGGTGATGCTGCATGCTAAGTCCATTCAGAGTTTCTGCTCTTCACCAAGACTTCTATCTCCTGAAAGTCCCGGAGTCTTTGGATGTCTTTGTCCTAAAAGTTGGGGAAAGACTTAGTGATTCCAGAATACTGTGTGAAGTCACTGGAATCCAGCTTACTGCTGGCAGGCCATTTCAGGTTTGCTTTTGTCTCCATGGTAAATCATTAGCAGTGGTTTATTCTTTGTTTTGTTTCTTTCAAGACAGGATTTCTCTTTAGCTTTGGAGCCTGTCCTGGAATTTGCTCTGTAGACCAAGCTGGCCAAGAACTTACAGAGATCTGCCACCACTGCCCAGTTTGGTTTAGTTCTTAAAATTTTATTTGTTGAGACAGGGTTTCTATGTAATCCTGACTGGCCTAGAACTCAGATCCATCTGCCTTTGCTTCCCAGATATTGGAATTATCAAGGTGTAAATGCCCTCAAACCCAGCTCAATTTTTTTTTTTTTTAAAGCCATCTGGAAAGTTTGATTATCTTGTGACTTAATGGTAGTTTACAAAGAATATATCAACAACTGAGACAACAGTAAAAATTGCCAGAGGCATTTTGGAGGTGAAAAAAAATTTTTTTTTTTGTCCTGGAACTTGTAGATCAGGCTGGCCTCAAACCCAGAGATCTTCCTGCTTCCTCCTCCCAAGTGCTGGGATTAAAGGGTTGCACCACCACTGCCAGGTGGAAGGAAAGATACTTAAGGAATGAAATCTGGCATTAAAACTTTAGATCTACATTTTTACCTTGGCAAAATTCAAAGAAATAACTTTTGTGGGGATTGCAAAGGTGGGCTTCCCTAAGCGGTAAGAGCGAGCCATTGTCTGAGGACAATGCTGTCTTTTATTAGCCAGCCGGTGTTGCAGAGATTGTCAGAGCTGAATATAGAATTCTTAAATCTGTGTGTCTCTTGTCACTCAGGTGTTTGAGAAATGTCTGAATTAGGTTTGTGGAATCAGCAGAAGTAACCGAGAGTGGCTATGTGACTCCAGGCAGTTTTATCATCTGGAGCTCTGTGTGTCTTGGTACGTGAAAACTAAACCATTGGCTTTTCAGAACGTGGTTTACCCATAGCATTAGTACTTGGTGGTGTGCAGCCTACCTTTCTGAGCAATGTGTTTGGCAGCTTCCTCATCTTGTCCACTTGCTCCGGGCGGACCCCCAGCTCACAGCAGCACACTTGCAGTAGGCCCTGATAACTCAGCTCCTGTCTGTGCAATTCAATCTCAATGAAGTCGTTCTCTTTGGAGCCATGAATTCTTACTTTAAGCACCAGCTCTGATCATATTAAAAGATGTTGGCATTATTGGTTATCACAGCAAAAATGACCCTGAAAACTGAAAAATAAGTAGACTTGGAGCTTTTTAGATGCTATATGAGCTGAGATTTTAGAGTGTTAACGAAGTTGTGTTCCCCTCAGGTCTACTACAAACCTAAAGCTTGCAGTTTGACACCAGCTGGTCACTCAAGCGTGTTTTTTGTTTGTTTGTTTTTTGTTTGTTTTTTGAAGAACTTACATGTCTGTTTGAATGTTGTGTGTGTAAATGCCTGGGGCTAAAAGGAGGGCCAGATCCTCTGGACCTGGAGTTACAGGCAATAGTGAGCTGCCAGATGAGAACCTCCTGGAAGAGCCACAAGCACTCAGCTTCCTGAGCCATCGCTCCAGCCCATTTATCTTTAGAGGCATGTCTTACTATGTAGCCCAGACAAACCTTAAACTCAAGGTTCTTCTACCTCAGCCATCCAAGTGATAGAACCACACTCACCATCTTCCTTTCTCGGGGTTGGGGGTAAAATCCAGAGTGTTAAATACATGTAGGGTAAGCACTCTACCCTGACTGTGCTTTTCAACCTGTAGTAAGATATTTAAAATATGCAGTGAAGGGCTGGAGAGGTGCCTCAGTGGTTAAGAGCACTGGCTGCTCTGCACAGGACATGGGTTCCATTCCCAGCAGCCACATGAAAACTGACAACCATCTGTATCCCAGGAGGTCTGGTACCCTCTTTTGGCCTGAGGGCACCAGTCACACACGGTGCACAGATAGATACACATGCAGAAAAAGCACCCATACATGTAAAATACACAAAGGGTCTTTTAATGCATTGGCAGTGTATAGCAGTCACGATGCTTAGTTGGCTGCTTGAGAATTTACTAGGAAATACGTGTGATTGGGCAAGGTACCAATCACTGGGTGTGATTCTTCTGGCCTCCCCCGACAGCTAGGTCTTAGGATGTGACACTGAGTGTGAATCTTGTCAACTTGCTATCTCCAGGGCAGTATGGACTAGCACTACACTGGATAAACCACGTGGTGAGCCCAGCTCTGCCTCGTGGTTCTTACCTGGAGCCATGTTGTCAGGTTTGCTGTCACATGGGTCGGCTGGCAAGTGTGGATTCATGCCTTTTTGACATTCACCTGGGAAAGAGGAAAGAGATGGTCTGAGAAAGCAGTGTCCCCAGCGTTTGCCTCTCTCTCCAGCTTCCCTCCACCCAAGTCTATTCTCCCTGTTCACAGGCAAAGGACAGTAATTAATGTTAATCTTACAATCACAATAAGAACTTTATTTCCAGATGGGGCTCTGGGGGTTGGGCTACTTGCTTGTGTAGCAAGTAGCCATTTCATAGGCCCTAGTTTTGATCTTGAGTGTTTTTTTTTTTTTTTTAATTACCAGCCAAATCATGAAAGGAAGCCAATTCTATATTTTAAAATGGTGCCTAATCTGGGAAAGAAATATTTATAATCTATGCCCCTAAGTTTCTCCTGTTATGTTTAGTATGCAGTGTTTTTGTGTTTCCAGGTCTCTAGCAAAGCTATATGGCAGAAAGGAAAGAAGTATTAAAAATCTTCCTTAGAGGCAGGTGGATCTGAGTTTGAGGCCAGCCTGGTCTACAGAGTGAGTTCCAGGACAGCACCACTTGAAGGAACTGGGTGGTAGATTTATACACCTTTAATCCTAGCAGTGGGAAGGCAGAGGCAGGTGGATCTCAGGACAACCAAGGGCTACACAAGGAAACACTGCCTTAAAAGTCCTTGAAGTGCTCAGGAAATTGCTCAGTACGTGCCCATCGCATCTAAGGCCCTCAGTTCAGTCCCCAACACCATAGGGCAACAATGAAACTTGAAAGACATGAGTGAGTCTTTACAGGAAGGACGATAGAGGAAGCAGATGGTAATGCGGGGGATGGCAGTGGTGCCCAGGTCAGATAGCAGAACACACTACTTTATAGAAGGTGAGCCGCTTCAAGCCAACAGCCATAGAATACTAAATCTGAAGCCCTAGGTCTCTCCAAATGCAAGCCCTACTTGTACAGTAGAGTCAAATACTCCCAGCAAGTAGACAGTCCTGCCCAGGGAGGAGGCTGAGACTTCTGTCCAAAGCAGCATCTCACAGACACGTTTGTAAGTGGATTATAGGCAAATTCAGGCTCGATTTCTTTCTTTGGCACCAAGTTGACACCTTGGGTAAGGTGTGAAACCTCCCTGAGCCTATTTTCTAACCAGAAAAATGGGACTAAGAAGCCCTACCTCATGGGGTTTCGAGAAAAAAAAAAAAAAAAAGGCCCGGGAGGCTCTCCTTGCAACTAGTAGCACTAGAGACTGCTGGCTGCTGCTTACATGTGTGTAGCTGGTGCAGGGAGAGAACCTTTGGCCCAGTTTCCCTGCTCATGACTGGCCCACTGCCTGCAGCACTAGCCACCACCTTCTGCACACCCTCCTTTGCAGCATTCCCTTTAAGGACTGTTGGAAACAGAACCCACTCACCTTCCACTTTCTCTCTGACGTCCTGTTTAGGCTCCTCCATGACAGATGAGTGGCCCCTCTCAAGTTATATGAAAGCTCCCAACCAAGTAAAAAGTGTTTCCTAGTGTCTCAACGTAAGTATGTGTAGTGAGATAGTGTGTTCTGTCACCAGTCCTGTAAAATGGGCAAGGTCATGTTTATTGCTCAGTACACATGCATAGGTGTGCCCCATAGCTTGAATAGCATGCTGCAAGTGAAGGCAGAAATGCAAGTTCAGCTTCTCCCTCCTAGGCTGTGACCTGGATACAATCAATGCCCACTAACACTTGGATGGGAAAGGGGTCCTTTGCTCTGGCGTGAGTACCAGGGACCAGCCAGGCGCCCCAGGACCCTCCACCAGAATCTTGTCTTTCCTTGGAAAGGATTTGTGGATCCTTATCAGAGATAAGGAATGTCAAACCCTTAATTCCTGGGATCAAACATTCCCTCTCTCCCACCACCCCCTCAGTTGCTATGCATGAGTGGAAAGAAGCTGGAAGCCCCTGGCCATACCTGGGCAGGCTGTCTTGTGAATGTCATCCCTTGATTGCAAGCATCAAAGTGCAGGAGGTGGGCTGGGACAGGAAGCTTGATGAAGGGTGGGTGGAGCTGGGCAAAGTCCGAAGTGAAGCTGTTGTCCCAAGCTCTCAAATGCAAGCTTTGAAGCAGGAGGGGCATGCACTGAGACCATATGTATGGGTGACAGGTGTTTAACATTCCAGTGGCAGTAGTCAACAAATGGACAGTCCATCCAGTGAGCTGAGTGGTCGTCAGCCGTAAACACTGGAGGATCCTAGAGGTCATAGATGATATGCACACCTGCAGGAAACTGGCTGCCTGGCCAGCCACCCTACAAGGAGTCCAGTTAAGTGGTCTCCTGGTGTGCCTTGGAGACACCGGGATGGTTAAAGTCCCCTGATTGTAATGTACAGTTGTGGTTGAGAATCACTGATGTAGACAAATTGCTTAAGGAGCAAACGAGGAAACTGAGGTCCAATAGGCACAGACAGGCTGACGTTAGACTGGGATGGCATGACTGTCTCCCCAGCACCATGCTGATGTCTTCCTGCCAGGAATGGAGAAAGATAGGAGTGACAGATAGGAGGAAGTAGGTCTGCCTGGCCTGGCCTGGCCTGGAAATGTACTTTGGCCAGCTGGGGTGTAGTAAGCTATAAACAGGCATCCTGAATCACCCCACCTGTTAAAACAGGCTCAGGGAGACAGGAGCTGCAGCTAGCAAGCACACTGAAAGAAAGCCTCCACTCTTCCCATCACATACTGTCCTGTCGGCTCATCCACTCAGAGCCCATTGGTGCACCCACTCGGGAGAGCACTGTCTGCCTTCCAAGGCGGATTGGTACGAACATCCCGAAAAACTTTTGTGGCAAACACTTTCATTCCAGGGCTCAGGAAGCAGAGGTGGGTGGATCTCTAAGTTCAAGGCCAGCTAGGTGTACCGGGCAAGTTCCAGGATGAGGGAGGGAGGGAGAGAGAGACACAGAATATGAATGAATGGATGAATGAATGAATGAATGAATCATGGGAAAAGGCCACTATCTGTGCTCCGCTAAAATGGGAGTGAGGACCCATACAGAACTGTCTCCTGGGCTGGGAGTGTAGCATACGGAGATCAGAGGGCCGCATTGTGGAGTTGGTTCTCTCCTTTCATCCTAGGCTGGGTTCAGAAAATTGAGCTCAGGTTGTCAGGCTTGGTTGCACTTTTACCACTGATCCTGCCCTCAGTACACGTTTTAAGTGAAAAATTTTTATGAGGAAGCAAACAAAACAATGGTTAGGGAAGCAATGTCAGAAAATAAAAGCTCTGAAGGGGATCTAGCTCTCCTGGCTGTGGGAAATACAGTATAATTTTTATAATTAAGCCAGTGATGTTTTAGAATGAGTTTAAACAAGACCCAATGGGCAGATGAGACTGAGACAGTGAAGGCGGATCTCAAGTCATCAGGGCAGGTGGAGATGTAACAGGAAGGAGATGGGTGCTGCTAGGATCATCGTGTATATAATACAGGCAATGTCTTTTGGGGAAGTAAGGGTCAGGCTGCATGTGCCTTGTGCACCCTCAGCCACTCACACACAACTAACATGGGGCAGCAAGGTGACTTTAGCAGTAGAGGTGTTTGCTGTGAAAACCTGCAACCCAAGCACCATCCCTGGAAGCAAGGAAAGAACTGACTGCTGGAAGTTGTCTGAGCTCAAGCTGTGTGCGCGCACACACACACACACACACACACACACACACACACACACACACACACACACTGTGGTATACACATGTCCCCCACACATCAAATGAACAATAATAAAAACTTTTCAAGATTGTTTTCCCACACCCTAGGTTTTGCCCCTGGAAGCTGTTATTATTTCTATCTTCATTATTTACCTCCAACTCCTTATGTAGTTGAGGATGACATTGAACTTATGATCCCCCTTGCCTCACTATCCCAAGTGCTGGGATCACAGGATTGCACCAGCACAACTGAGTTAAGTGGTGTTGGGGAGAGAACCCAGGGCTTTGTACATGTGGTCCAGCACTTTACCGACTGAGCTAGACCTCCAGCCCTGTTGCTGTTCCAGCTATCCGTACATAGTATTTTTTGGGGAAAAGATGCTTAATGATTGAGGAAGGTGGTATAGAGGCAAGTGGTTTGGTGAGCAGCCTTAACACCTGCATCCTTATGTGCTGTGGAAAAGGCCTGGAACTACTGAGCTCCAAAAGCTTCTTCAGTGAGCCTGAAATTAACGCAGTTTCTTAGCTGATCAACAGTAGGGGTCGAGGCAGGGAAACTCAGCTACTTGTTCCAGAAAATACAAGCTTGGTGGGTTTGGATATGAAGTCTCCCTGCCTACTGCTCCAGCTGGTGCTGTCGAGAAGTTACCAGGTCTTAAGTACATGAATAGGTGGTTAGGCCTACCTGGAGGAAGTGGATCACTGAGGTGAGGGGTGGGTCTCTCCTGGGTGCCTCCTTTCCTCTAGGCTCCCTGGCTGCCATGAGGTGAACAGCCTTGCTTTGCCAACACCCCTCCATCTGATGTTTTGCCTCCACACATTCCCACAGTGGTGGGTGCCACATGAACAACGGCTGTGGCCTTTGAAGCTGGAAGCCAAAAGAAATCTTTCCTCAGTTGTTTATTGGGCATTTTGTTACAGTGACAACAGCAAAAAGACAAAAACAAAACCCTGACATATTGCTCGAAGGAAAGACTGAACCCTCTGAACAGAGCTTGAGTCCCTGCTGGCCTTCACACACAAGAACAATAGACTCAGTAAAGAAAGACCTATACAGGCTTGTCAAATTCCCTCCGAGGAGGGCCACAGTCAGCCCTAATAGAGAATTACAGGTTCTTACGTGTGCTGCATCAGTATTTCAGGTTGTGGCTCTGGTGTTTTCTGGCTGACTTCTCATTGAAGCCCACATTTCCAGACCCTTGTCTACCTTAACACCCCTGTAAGACTCTGGGAAAGTTCTTTGACACACCCTGGTGTCCATGTTGATGTAGCATTATGGAGGCTGTTTCTGAATCTTGTTTTCTTTCTCTTCTTAAGAGTGTTTTGTTTTTCTTTCCATGCATTTAAAAAGGTACCCCCACCCCGGGACTGAAATGATGGATTATTGATTAAGAATACTGGCTTTGAAATCATGGGGACCAGAGTTTAAACCCCAGCATCCATGTGACAAGACAGGCATTCTGCATGCTTGGGACCCCAGCTATGAGGAGGGCAGGGACCGGTGGAGTGGCTGGACTTGCTGACACCCCATTTAGCTGGCAGGGAAGTGAGTGCTATGAAATAACCCTCTGTAGACTGTGAAAATGTATTGCTCTCACTGTTAATAAAACACTGATTGGCAGATAGGCAGGATTTGGCGGCAGGGAGAATCCTGGAAAGAAGGGGATGGAGGCTGAGAAGTCTTAAGCCAGACTTGGAAGAGGCAACATGGGAAGTTCATAGATGAGGTAAACAAGCCTTGGGGTAGATTAAAAGAAATGAGTTAATTTAAGTTATAAGAGCTAACTAAAAACGAGTCTAAGCTATTGGCCTAGCATTTATAATTAATATTAAGTCTCTCTGTGCTATTTTGGAGAGTCCTTGGTGGGAAAGAAAAGTCCGCCTACAGGTGAGACCCAGGTTCATGGAGAGATCCTGCCTCAAAGGAGTAAGTAAGCAGAGACTAAAGGACAAGAGGACACTTCAGTAACCTCTTCTGTCTTCGTGCATGCACATGGAAGCACACGCACACACATTTTTTAAGCTTTTAATTTTTAAGTTTTAATTTAACTGTGTATGTCTGTGTGAGCACATGCATATGATTGTAGGTGTCCACAGAGGCATCAGCTGCCTTGGAGCCAGAGTTACAGGTGGTTGTGAGCCATTCTGTGTGGGTTCTGGGGATCAAACTTAGGTCTTGGGTCCTCTGCAAGAGCAAAATTCTTCTCAGGGTATGGTAGCACACCCCTTTAAGTCCAACAGAGGTAGAGGCAGGCAGATCCCTGTGAGTTTGAGGCCAGCCTGGTCTACATAGTTCCCGGACAGCCAGAGCTGTCTCAAAAACAATCTTTATGAGGGGACTTATACACCATGAACTTTGCTCACATTATCTTGCAGTGTCAGGGAATCAAACTTAGAGCCACATGCATACTGGGCTAGCACTCTACCGCTGAACTAGCCCTCCAGTCCTTACTGACCCCCGTTTTAAAATATTCAGGCCTTTCCCCCCCCCTTTGTGTATTCACAGGGTTGTGTAACAGTCACTGTAATGTTCCTTGTTTTATCATTCCGAAATAACATCCTGTTTTTATTCTCTATTACCTTCAAATGTCATTTCCCTTACTCATCCTAATAACATGTCTATTTTCTGTATCTATGGATTTGTCTGTTCTGGACATTTCATGTCATTTCGGTGATATGTAATTTTTTTGTGTGCCTGACTTCTTTTGCTTAGCATAGTGTTTTCAAGGCTCATCCATGCTACAGTTTTTTTTCCCCCCACATAAATTGATGGACAT